ATCTCGATACCGATTGATGGTTTCTTCGCTGATGCCTTTGTCGCAAAAGTCGCTCAAAACTTACCAGGCATTTTGACAGACGCTGGGACCTAATGGACCATATTGGACCTAATCAGGACGATGCATGGCTTATGATGCACCGTTAGGTAGCATCGCCTCGCTACTTTTGGACAGACTAGATCTAGTATATATTTAGTCAACATGTAATACATTCTCAATCTGCCAGTGCGCAGGAGAATATCCGCAAACATATAATTCATGAGGTAGTGTCTCCGGCGTCTCTCTGGTTGAGAGAATGTTAGACACATGAGACCACCCCGCTCGAGCTCTTCTACTCAAAAAATTCTGCATGTGACTCCTCCCTGTACATTCTTCCAACACTCTGCCACCAGAAAATCGAGAGCACAGGATAGTAGGTACCTACAATCCACCTAAGTTATCGGTTCACACCACCTGCCAATCAACGCTCTGAGAAACATATCATTCCTTCTGGCACGAGGAGTCGACAATCACAAGTAGCAATCATTCAACCTCTCTGGTTGATGGAAAGGCGAACAGATATGAACGACCAGCTCGTCGTCGTGCATGACGCGGGCCAATGAGTGGCTTACCGCGGGTGCTGGCCTATGGGCCACAGAGCGATCAACAATAAGGGAGAAGCTTCCCACGGTGATCATGATGACATCATTACCCGCGTCAACGCACGCCTCTTCGCTCTTGACCACCATCTCACTCGACGCCCATGCGCGGCATGCCTTATTACCCGAACATATCATCTAGTGATTTCAACGTGAAGGTGTTTGATCGTATGGAATATCTGCACTATTGAGGTGTTCAGAAACTATGACTATAGAGTGATAGATATATCGGACACCTGAAGAGGACACGATCATCACCGCTGTGCGTCCGTCTTCCCCACTCCTTTTCTCTAAGACTGCTCCTGCCTCGACTGGACATGATTTACCGGTAGGTTCAAGGATGATTTTTATATGATGTACTCGCGCTGCGTCGTCGAAGACCGCGCTCTCTATCGATCTTCTCAAAGTGTACGCCCCTTCTCCTCGATGTTCGGCTGCTAATCTAACTATATTTTCTATGCTTCCGGTGCCTGTATAGGTGAGCTTGTTCTCGTGTCTGGATTGCTGCTTCACTGTCTTCTGTGACAATTGTGCGTTTGTTATCATACTTCCCATGTCTATGGATTGCGAATACAATCGCCTACGGGTCCTCTTGTCTCCATCCACATTGGCGAGTGCAGTATTGTTTGATTCATTGGGTACAATATCATAATCGGTTTCCAGACTTTCATGTATTCGTCGAGCAGTATGGAACGATTGGGTCATAACGATGGTGCCAAGGTGGCACATGTTTTGCGAGATATCTTTTCTTGGATGTCTGCGCCCTTATTTTCAATGTCCCTGTCTGTATAAATGTGAAATACAATCCATCTTTGCTATGCTGAGGTCGAGAGAATGGTGAGAACAGAACATAACGCCTGGAAAGTGGTTTTCGGCTCTATATTGATCGGTTAGGCCATACAAGGTTCCATAAGGTTATACACCTTATTGGGCCATATTGCCCTCTTTGCTACCGTATAACGGTCTGCGCCGCTAAGAGCCTAATATACCCTTATACACACTTATACGGCCTGATATGTTTTGGTCGACTTTTGCGACATTCGAGTGTCGCTGCCAGGGTGCTGGGTTCGTTGCTTGGTCCGTTTGAGTCGCAGACAGCGCTATGGCCGTCGTCGATGTTGGTGTTGCTCTTCGCAGTGAGTACCATATTGAAGACACAGGCTAGGACGAACAGAGAGGAATGAAACGGAATGGAGACGAGAGGACTCAGAAACACCGAGGGAGAAGGGCATTATATATATGCCCAGCTTGACAAAGATCAACCTCACTGCCCAACTTGGGCACCTTGACACGGTGACTACAAAGGGGTATTCATTGTTTCGGGTAACCACGCTGGCGGGCGATCGTTGGCGTGGTGGCACGAACGATACCGACTCTGAGAATAGTACAAGGATGAGTGCCACCGCGGAGTTCTCCGAGGTACTTCGTATTCTACTC